GGGTACAGTGAGAAGACAGTTTGAAATATGAAAGAACTCAAGGATGCATGGGTAGTTTCTTGAAAAGTTTACGGTCATGAAATGCAACCAATTAAGAGATTCATCACAGTAATTAATTTGAGAATCAAAAAGTCACATAAGAAGGTCAGGTGAAGAAATGCAAATCCATTTAAACAGTGACTCAATATTACAGAAAATATGGGTACAGAAGGTAATGTGAATGTTGTAAACCTATACAATAAAAAATATTGAGAGGTATAGAAGAGATGAAGAGAAGGGTGAGAGTAGGCATATCTTCTTCTTTCAATGGTAATGTCATTTATAATGGAATTCAAGTTTAAAAACCATGAATCCACACAACTGAATGGTTGTCATTATTAAGTCATTATTAAGCTTTTAAGAGACCTTTTAGAAACTACCTCTAAGAGCAGAAAAGACATTCATTCAAAATTCACCATTTGTTTAGTTTTACTTGTATATTTTTCTTTTATCAAACTCAGTAAATTTGAAGTAGGTATTTATTTAAAAGAGTCTTATGATTCCACTTTTTAAAGTTTTTTTTTTTTAACCTGGAAGTTTTCAAGTATTCCCTTAGTAAAGTCCCTTTATACCCATGCATTAATTAGCTCTTGTCTCTATAACAAAATACCTGAGGTAATTAACTTATAAAGAGAAAAGATTTATTTTGGTTCATGATTCTGAAATTTCCAGTCCATGACTGAGTGGCTCCATAACTTTAGACATCCTGCAAGACTGCATGTCTTAGAAAGAGTGTGGGATAGAGCAAACTGTTCACTTGTGAGCCAGGAAGCAAAGCCATAGAAAAAGAGGAAGACCAGGATTCCATAATCCCAATGATCTAAGGATCTCCCTTAGGGCACTACCTTCTAAAGGTTCCACCACTTCCTAATAGTGCCATCCTGGGAACCAAGCCTTTAGCACATGGTTCTTTGGGAACACTCATCCAAACCTAAATCCAAACATAATCTAACTTCACAGGTATTAACATTTTATCAATCTTGTTTCATCCATAGGCCCCATACACACCTGGAATTTGCCTGCTCCTAAGAATAACATACAGATAGTGGAAATTGGGAGTTACATAAGTTTTATCCTTGTGTTTTCTGCCTTTAGAATATGTCTGCAAATACTTTTGAAAATAGGAATAGCAATTTTTCTCCCCTGCTAAAATTCTGCCTTTCTAAAATAACTGGAAGCAAATAGGCCAAAATGCTAACAGATTGATTTTGAGTGATTAAAAAAAAAAAGTAGGTATTTTTTTAATCATTATTTTTTTGTGTAATGCTGGGTTTTGAACCCAGGGCCTTGTGAATGTCAGGCAAGTACTCTACCACTGAGCTACACCCTGATTCTATTTTCAAAAAAATTTTAAAAAGAAATAGTAAAATTACTTAAGAGGCCTATACACAATGAAAGCCTGTACCCAAGAAGACATAATATACAACTTAATAACTTCCCATTAGATAGTTGTTCCTCTGAGGACTCTTTTCATCAGTACACACTCCCAGGGAGAGTATCTCCCACTTCCACTTTAAATTATGGTCAAGACAAAAACCTTGTGTACACCATCTTATTTCAGCTTCAGGGGTTGATAACCTTGTACTTGATATTTCTGAATATTCTAATTACAGATAAGGAAACTGAGGCATAAAGGAATTGGTAAATTGTCCAGTTCAACCACCAACAGGTATTGGGGAGCTGGGCTTTAAACTCAGAGAGAGGCCCAGGTTCTCTCTTGCTTCCATTTGCTGGCTGGAGAAAGAAAGCCCAAAGTTTGCTTGCCCCTGCTGTCAGCTTATCAGAGCTCTTTTCCATAAACTCAGTTCCTACCAAGAAACTCTTTCATCCGCTGCTGAGAGATCTCTTTCCCCATGATAACATTCCTTTGGGAATAATCCCAGTGGCCCAGATAGTGTCTAGTCACATATTATGTCTTTCACTGACTACATGTTTTTCACTGGACTGAAAACAGTTTAATAAATGTGATGACTTCTTGGCCATGAATTATAGCTAATAAAACACTAATTCTCCTTTATCACTATTTACTCTCACAATCTAATGTGTTGAAGAGTTAAAATCCCTTTTCTAAAATTATCATGCATCTCATAGGATTTGCTTCTGACAAATACCATGCCATTTTCCCCATTTTACATGGAAAGTGTTAAGATCCAAAAGTTATTTGTTCAAGGCAGAAAAAGGAAAACTGAGAAAAAGAAGAATAGTCCCCAAGTTCATTATGCAATAAACAAAAAAAATCATGTTCATGCTTTGGAAAAAAATTCTCTCCAGGACCAGGACCAGCCCTTTCTACACGGCATGCTGGGAGCTGCATGGTAGAGACTTTATGAACACATACTTTGAAGTCTGACTTGGATTTTAATCCCAGCCATATCATTTTCTAGCTTGGTTACTTCTCAAGCCCCAGTTTCCTCCTCTGTAAATTTGGGAAAGCAAAGGTATTAACTTAGCAGGTTAATAGGAGCACCAAGGAAAATGTAAAGCCTTTTGCAAGTTTATAGTACATAATAAGTTCTCAATAAATGATAACTATAGTACATGTCAAAATAACAAGATGCTTAATACCTCCCTGAACCCTGTTTTTTTTCCTACAGTCATGACTGGTTTATATAATTCTTGATCATTTGAAGTGTTGGGCCACCTCCACATAAGCATTAACCTACTTGGATGATGAGATGCATATACTTGAATGGATAGAAGGAATACCACCTTCATCTCTGTTTTGGTTTGGAGTTGGCCAAACAGAATACCCTCACAAGATTTACAGAACAGAGCTCCACAAAGCACATTAACTCCATGGAGGTTTCTGGGAAGCAAAGCATGCATTCAAAAAAAAAAATTCTGAACCGAGTAATAGAATGCATGAAAAACTAAACAACTCAACAGAAACCAAAACAAAGCTGGAGGTGTCCACAGTTATTCCTTCTTGAGTACAGCTTATGAATGGGTTTCAACATGCCTCAACATTCACCCTTGAAGGTGATGACTTCCAGTCCAGAATGCCAGTTTACCCCCAGATACAGTGAATATTACCATTATCTATTACTACCTTGTGGTATGAAGGGTTGGGAAGCAACCTTGGCTAAATTCAGCACTATTTTCCCAAGGGTTAAGAATTAGGACCTATGGTTGAAAAAACTATTTTGCCAACGATTTGATTAAAATTTCAGGATTATAAGCCATTTTGGTTATGGAACGTTAGCCTCCCAAACTTAATAATCTATCAGAAAACATTTGCTATTTTTAAAGACTGTGGCAGTTACCAAGGAATAGACCCTAATTAGACCCACAACATTATACAGCTTCTTCCCCCAAAGTATACTTTGATATGCAGCCATGATCCCAACTTCTCTGCCAACCCAAAGCTACACTAAGCTATGATGCTCCCCACAAAGCTGGCAGAAATGGCCAGAAGCCACAGCATTCTGAAAACACACCTAAATGAAAAGCTCTTTCCCATCAGATCCGTCACATTTGACTGGGAAAACAAAACAGTTTGTCGCTTCTAATAAGTACAGAGAGCCTGATAAGGTAATGACTTTTTTCTCCCCAGGCACTAATCTCAAATATAATAATGCCTAAACGCAATTTTTATCTTTAGACATTCTGTTACTGATTCAAAGCTGAATTCTTGGACTTGCGCTCTTAGTTCGCATCCCTCAGTCTCTGACTCAGAAATAAAGATGAACGGGATACGCCGAGTGAACCGCACTCCTGCCTGAAATGCTTTATGACAGATGACGATATACGATGAGAATACAAAACCCTGATGATAATAGCTTTATTTATTGATTGCAAATAAAATTCACGAAGTGTGAAGCTGCAAACTGCACTGGGGGGAATTGAGCAAGGGGCCCACGAGGAGAAGCTGTGTAACACAGAGACAGAGCTGAAAGCTGCCTGATGGAGGCCGGGCTGGACTGGGAGATGGAGACTGGGTGGACACTGGACAGTGCTGCTGACCTGCTGATGTCCTTGGGCAGGACACACAGTTCCCTTCCT